TTCAGTGCTGGGGAGTGAACCACTGAGCTATAGTCTATGATCCCAGCCTCCGAATTTGCTGCTTTTATTGGGATTTTCTCCACTTTGTGTATTCTCATTTATGTAAGGCCATTCCTCAGTTTCTTGAGAGTAACAATTGCTCTAAGAATGATTTGGGATAGACATAATGCATCCCTGTAGGAGGATTAGGAGGCTAAATGAGGAGGATTGCAAGTTCAAAGCCAGCTTCAGCAACTTTGTGAGGCCCTAAGCAACTGAGCAAGACCTTGTCTCTAAATGAAATATTTAAAAAGGGCAGTAGATGTGGCTCGGTGGTTAAGCACCCCTGGGTTCAATCTCTGGTACCAAAAAAAAAAAAAAAAAGATTCAGTATCAGATGCCTGGGAATACCGACAGTTTGTTTTTCCAGAAATTTGTACATAAAAATCAACTTTTGCTATGGATATAAATTCTATTAATTTAAATTCTTAAAAACACTGACGGTTGTTTTAGGTTTCATGTGACTTAAAACAGTTTTCTAATATTTGTATGCTTCCAAAGACAATTGTCTATAGAAAAAGGAGTGCTCAAACTACCAAATTTGGGTGCTTTTAGTTTTTTTCTCTTTTTAAAACAGTTTTGTACACACTAAATATTCACTCATTTAAAATGCACATTTCTGTGGTTTTTAGTATGTTTGCGGAGCTGTGCAGCATCACCACAATCAATTTTAGAACCTATTTTCACCCCTGCCAAAAACCCCTCATATCCATTAACAATCACTCTCCATTTCCTCCCAAACCCTATAAGCCCTAAGCAACCACTAATCTACTTTCTAGCTCTATAAATGACCTATTCTAGACTTTTCATATAAATGGAATTATTCTAATTTTTTTTTTTTTTTTTGGTAATGGAGATTGATCTCAGAGGAGTGCCTTACCTCTGAGTTACATCCCCAGTACTTATTTTATTTATTTATTTATTTATTTATTTGAGACAGGGCCTTGCTAAGTTGCCCTAGGTTGCCCTGGAACTTGTGATCCTCCTGCCTTGGATGCAGAGTCAGTGGAATTATAGGTGTGTGCTATTGTGTCCAACCAATTCCGTTTCCTTCTAAAGCCTTCTAGTAGTTTTGTCATGAAGGCATGACAGAGCAATGTCAGCTATTTAAAAAAATTCACTGAAACTGCTAAGATTAGCTTTGAAATCAGGCTTCTCCAAGAAAAGAACTATGGAACACTTTTATCAATAAATCTTCAATAAAAATAAGAACTTCCATTTATTATTATATGAGCACAAGAGCACATATAATTTAATATTTAGACTGAAGTGTTCATGCATCAGAAATTGTGCTGGATTACATATTTGTCTCTTTAATTCTCACCATACTGACCATTATTCCTATGTTGAGAAATCTCTGTCAGTGAAGCTCAGTAACTTGTCCAAACACACATGCCTATAGAGGGGCAGAGCTGAGATTTTGGCCAGAGCACCTGTGCTTCACGGGCCACAATCCAGTTACAACTCCTGTTTATCTCAATGCTGTGAGAGTCTCCTGCTCTTATCTGCATCCATGGAAGTTCTGAATCACAAAAGGCAATTCCCACTGTAACAGAAAGAGTGCTCACAACCACACTGAGGAACTGGCCAGGTGAGAAAACCACCTGCTATAGCCACCACACTCCTGAAGCCATGAACTTAGCTGCCTGCCACTGCTACTGGAACGGACGCCTTTTCTGTGCCAGGAATTCCACCTGGCAGTCACTGTCTTCCTGCACCTGTGAAGCGAAACCATGAAGAACCAGTGTGTTACCTGCCACATCTCATTCTGAACTGCCTCCCGATGTCAAGGTCTATTGGCAGAGCCTAGGTCAATATCCCATTTCTGAGCATATTTAAGAAAATTAAGGATTTTGTCTCCTGCTAAGTTCAACTTCACAGGTCTGGCTTCCTGCTGGAAGGAACCAGCCAGCTGAATGATGCATGCCACCATAAATATGGGTCTTTATGACGTTACCCAAAAGTCGAACAGCTGTTCACTACATCATTTAAGCAAAGCTCTGAGCATCTTAAGGCTAAATCTTAGCCAAATGGCAAATCATGATATAGCTGTGTGCTGTGGTTTGGATACGGTTTTAGTGTATTCCCCAAAATTTCATGTGTTGGCAGTTTAGTCCCCAGGGTGACCTTATTGGGAGGTGGTGTGGAACCTTTAAAAGGTAGGGACTAGTGGGAGGTCCTTAGGTTAATTGGGGGTGTGCTCTAGGAAGGGCCTAATGCATTTCTCAATTTCTCATGTGACCCTGGTTAGTTGTGGCAAGAGGGTTGTTATGAAAGTCTGAGCCTGGCCCCACCCAGTATCTCTCTGACTTCCTGTTTCCAAATAAAATTTCTCCCTTACACAGGGGCTCTTGCCATGATAAGATGCAAACAAGAGGGTCCTCACACCAAAGCTGAGCCAATGCCAGGACCATGACCTTGAACTTCCAAAAGTGAGTTAAATAAACCTCTTATAATGTCAACCGTCCTCGGGTATTAACTTGTAGTAATACCAAGTGGATTAATGCTGTGACTGAATGGAAGAATTGAAAGGACAAGGATCCTGCATCAGGCTCATCCACATGGGACAGAGATCCATCTGTAAACTTCAGAGCAGATTTGCCACCAGACCAAGTGCTTCTTGCTAGAAGGTCTTCAAGGGCACAGATGTCTTCTTTACCTTTATATACCAGGTAGGACCCCTCCACCCAGGAGGTGGTAGGCTCTCTTGGAACAAATGTTAAGATTACTAGGGGTATATTTGGATGTATCTGTCCTGCTATGGACAGGTAAAGTCTCTCTTCAGGGAGGAGGGATGGCATTCATGTCAATCATCTGGGGAAGATGTGGGTCCTCCCACAGGAAGCCAGAACTTTGACGTTGGGTTTAGCAAGAGAGAAAAAGCCCTGTGTCCCCTGGTCCTACTTTCTGGGCTCTAGATTCTGGGAGTGGAGGCATGGTCAGGGCACTTTAGGGCTTTTCTAGGAGATGGGAGGACAGTAGGCTCTGCCACTCCACAGCAGGCTAGGAGCTGGCCTCCGAGGCAAACTGGAGAGGGCCAGGGGTAAGGATGTCCTATTCTAGGGACTGTCTTTCCTTCCCTTATGTCATCCTGAGCTCTGAAGAAAGTGGTATTTAAAGGCTTCTATCCAGTCTTAGCCAGGAAGGGGGAATTATGACTTTTGTGGATCTTCCCTTTGGTCAGAGGTGTAGAGGGGCACAGTGTCCCTTACCTGAAACCAAGGTGGTGGTACCGAGCAAAGTTGGTATCCAACCTCTGAGGCTGAGGAGTCCTTTTGCCCCCACCCCACAATTATAGATTTTTTGAGAATTCAGAGAGGGAAACGATGGATTCTGTTTTATAAGTTCAATAAATGTGTGTTGAATGAACAAAAGGGAGGGTGGTACTTATAAGAAGAGGCAAATCAGCATGAGTCTTCCCTAGGCTGGGCAGCTCAGGATACTGGAATGTCCCAACAGGTACCTGAGGCCCAGTGAGGACCACCCAAGTAGTTAGTGGCCAGAAAATATGTCAGATAGTAATGTACCCAGGCAGAGGCAAGGTTAAGGGACCCAGCCTGGGAAGACAGTTTCTAAGAACTAAGTCCCTAAGTGGGTTGTGGGGGACATGATGAGGAATAGGAAGAGGAATACAACTGTCCTCTTCAGGGATTTCAGCCTTATTCCTGATGTACCAGCACAGCTACTGAAGCCAAGACTCAGGAGAACAGAACTTGAGCAAAAACCATCTAGAAAACAGAAGCTGCAGTGATTTGAGACTCTCTCCTTGGCTTCTTGGGCCAGAGCCCTGGTGTTAGCATTTGAAGAATGAATTGTGGAGACAGGAGCCATGGAAAGGCTAAGAACTCGAAGAGTTGGATATGTGCCTATTAGTGAGATCAGGAACCTCAATAAATTATCAATAAACAGAAAAGCTGACGGTGAAAAGGTGGAAAAACTAAAAGGAAAAGATCAAGGCTGTATTGAAAGTGACCGATTCCAGTATGACAAATGGATAAACTAGCTCAAATCCTTTTTGGGGGCCTGAAATTTGGTTAATTAAATAATTGAGTTTTTCCCTCAGCTGGGTGTGGTGAGGCACACCTATGATCTCAGGGACTCTGAAGCTGAGACAGGAGGATCCCAAGTTTGAGCTGGCCTCAGCAACTTGGTGAGACCCTGTCTTAAAATTCAAAAATAAAAAGGGCTGGGGGGTGCAGCTCAGTGGTAGTGTTGCCGAAAGTTGGGTCCTTGTCCCTGATGTCAATCCAATAACGAGGACATGGTTTTGAGAAAAAGGAAAAAGATTTATGGCTTTAGCAATAAATTTATTCATCTAGCAAAGGAGAAACACAAGGACTCCTATTCCAAAGGCTGTGATTCTGCCCATCAGCAGGATAAAGAGGTGATTCAAAGAAAATGAGATCAGGGAGGGTCAGAGAGAAGAAGGTTGGGGGAAAAAAAAATGTAAGTTTCAAGTGACAAGGGATACAGTCAAAACATCAAGTAATCCCTGTTACAGTAGATGGCTCTGTGTTCAATCCCCAGTACCACCAAATCAAACAACAACAACAAAAAAAAACACCCTTTCCTCATAACATGGAGAATCTATGCCACAGCTTCAATATTATTAATTTCAAAAAAAGGTTTTATCAGGGTGTGATGATGCATGTCTGTAAACCCAGTGACTTGGGGGCTGAGGCAGGAGGATCACAAGTTCAATCAACTTAGTGAGGCCCTAAGCAACTTAGTGAGACGAGAGACCCTGTATCAAACTTAAAAAAAAAAAAAAAAAAGCTGGGGGGCTACAGATGTAGTTCAGTGGCAAAACATCCCTGGCTTCAATCCTCAGTACAAAAAAAAAAAAAAAGAAAAAGATTTTAAAAGGAATTAAAAACCCATGGTTATTAAATAAAAATATTAAAAATATAAAAATATGGTTATTATTACTAGTAGTTGTTTATGCGACACAGACCACTGAATAATCATTAAAGTAATTTTATTAATATAAACATTTACAAACATAAAGTGCACTGTGCCTGAAATTAATGATTGCAATTTTTTGGTAAACCTCACCTTCGCATTGTTCAACATTGAAAATGTTTTTATTAATATGTGCTTGCTGCAATACAATCAGCTCTTCAGGTCTAACTCCCATTTTTAACAAGATTCACAGAATTACAGGCTCCTAAAATGTTGTGGAACTATAGCTCTTATTATAAAGCTACATTTTACACTGGTCACAATTTTTAGTGACAGAGTACTATCATTACAGAAGCCAAATTATAGATAACTCAATAAAAAAAAAATCACTTTATACCAATTAATATCCCATGATTCAAGCAGAAAGCCCCCAAATTTCCTTTTGAAGATGAACATTTCTTTGTTGTTTTAATTATCACACTCTTCACACGATAATTCTTTCTTCCAAAATCAGAGTCCTGAGTGCTGTGCTTCTGAATCATATCTATATCACAGCACTCTGGGTACAGACCAGCTCCTTTTCACCATCCTCTGCTTCCTTCTAGGTGCCCAATTTTGTGGCAAAAGCAATTAACCAAACTTTAAAAAGTCAAATTTCCTGAAAGTGGACAGGACAAAAACCTCAAGAATTTCAATCTTTTGTCATTTGCAAAAGACGCAAATACATAAAGTTTACATATCTTTGTTTATTAAAAAGTCTGTAAGACAGGAAATTGGGTCCATAAGACAATAAATTAGGATCTTCACATGAACTGAAAAGCCTCTGAGGAATTTAAGACACAGGCAGGCTTATGGAAACCTAACACTTCAACCTTGTGATCAGAGATGAAGCTTGAAGTGAAATCTTATATTTGCATTGAGCCTAAGAATTTTTACTATCTCTGAAAATTAAAAAAATAAACAAATAAGCCTCTTTAAAAGTGGACACTGGAGTCTATTTCTAGAATTTCTAAATCAACTAGCTGATATAATTGATTTCTGCAGCCAGAATGGATCATGAAGTTAGGCAAAAGTACAACCTAGCTGTTTGGTATTTTCTTCATTCAATACTCACAGCGAAGGTCTTTGTAATAAGAAGAGTACAAAACTCCACTAAGCAAATTTCCTGAACTTAGCTTTTAAGAGGATGTTCCAAAAATCTTAGAATAGTTTTGAGCTTTAATAAGCTCAGAAGTATAAATGCAGCAAACTCGCAAAAAACATTCATCATTCAGAGGTTTGGTTAGTTAAATTTCATTATATTTCATTAGTTTTTTGTTTTGATAATGCATATTTAGGTTTTGTTGTTGTCTAAGTACCTATGTTTGAAAATGGCAATCAGTAACTGCTTTTAAGTTATTAGCTCTTGAAACTGCACTAAGACTTTCAGAATAACCTGAATGATTCTCAAGTCTGAGTTTCAGTTCTAGCTCATTTTACCTGAGATGCATTTAGACTCTGACATGGGTTAAATTGTTTCCCCTAGAAGTCAGTTCTCTTCTTGCTATATTCGCAGAGCAAAGCTGGTTGATAACTCTCTGACTCAGTCTGCAGTTTCTCACATTGCCAAGGAAGTGATTAGTTTAGTGAAAAGTTTACAGAGGCACACAATTCTCAAATTCGTATGATATAGCAACACATCTCCACCTCTATGTCTGATGTCAGTGCAACTGACAAAGAACTGAAGCAGCACTGTGATAGTGAACATCAAAATGATCATATTTTAATAAGTTTCCACAGATTCATCCAGTTTAAAAGACCTGTCTTGACTCCAGGTGTTTTCTCTTCTTCCTGATTAATGTCATTTGGGCTTTTATCTGCATCTTCTTTTGTTTTTATAAAGGTCTCATATATTTTCTGGGTTCTGATAATTTCTTTCTGTGCATCAAAATGGACTTTTTGTCTGGTCAGGATGGGAACAATTAAATTAAAATCATTAATTCTCTTGTTTAGTTTTCGAATGTTTTCTTGAAACTGCTCACAAACTTGGTTCCACTGTTTCTGTTCTGCTGGTGTCATAGGATTTCCAAGTTTTTTCCTAGACACTAAAATCGCCTCTCTGAGTTGTTCAATAGTATCTTTTATTTCCTTTTGCATTAGGATCCATTCTGGTTGGTATCCATTATCTATCAATATTCTGTTCAGGTTGTGAGTCATGGGATCAATATATGAACACCCAGAAAACTTTTTTAGAGGTTTTCCTTTCCCGCTGAGATTGTCAAAGTCTCCTTTTGCCATTGATTCCTGAATGAGGTCCTCCACTAAACGCTCGATTGCCTGAGTTATCTTTTGTTCTTTGCTCTGTCTGACATCTTTGACAGTTACGCTGTTAGTGAAGTGCTGGCTTTGTAGCTTCTGCTTTCGATATTCCATCACTTGCTCAGTCGCACGATCTGCCCTAAATTGCCTATATTGTTTCTCTCGCTGACTTGGAGTCCCAAAACCAATACCTTCAAAACTTAAATAATGCCTGTGCTGGGGTGTATTATATTTGAATTTTTCTTCTTCTTCTTCCATTTCTTCAACTTTATTCTGTCTGGCATGTGATTGTTCTACCACATGGGAAAGTACCTTCCTATAAGCTTCCTCTATTCTTACAAATGTTGCAGAATCAGCAGTACTAGAGCCGCTATCTGGATGGTATTTCTTGGCAAGCTTGCGAAAAGATTCCCTGACATCATCTGCAGAGCATCCTTCATCCAGACTCAGCAGCCTATAATATTCTCTGATCTTCTTATTGGACTTATGGGTTGATATCATTCTATTTCTAATGACACCAAGATACGGAAGCATTTTCACTCCATTAGGAATCCGTGAAGCACTTATCTGGTGAGATCGTAAGATTTGAGCCATCCTCACATGCATTCTGTTCATCATTGTACCCAGAGTTCTTCTTCACAATGACCTATAAATGACAACAAATTCAGGTTGAACAAAGTTATTATCAGTTGATTTCTTATTTTTAGTAATAAAAGAAGATGTGAAATTATAAATCTAGTAAGGGAAAATTCATTCTTTTTTTTTTTTTTTGTGTGTGTGTGTGTGTGGTACTGGGGATTGAACTAAGGGGCACTTTAACACCGAGCTACATCCACCAGCCCTTTTTATTTTTTATTTTGAGACAGGGTGTAAGTTGCTGAGCCTGGTCTCCAATTTGCCATCCTCCTGCCTCAGCCTCCTGAGTCTCTGGGAATATAGAACTGCACCACGACATCCAGCAAGGGACAGTTCTTTCTAATGTTGCTGACAAAATTCTTACAGCGTGTATTTCACTGATGTTAACAAGAGAAATGGAAGTCGATGATGTTTAGCATTAACATATTGTGACATAATCTGGACTCCACTCCTCACTAATTACAGAATTTTAGAGCTGGGAAGTTCTTAGTGATCACCTAATCCAATCTTCTCATTGTATGAGAAAATGTAGTCCAAAGGTTAAGCAATTTAACCAGGTTGTATAATGAAGTGTAAGCAAAATGGTTGGAGGGGGGGCACAATAAGGACGTTTAATTGTATCCTCAGCAGGTTATAAACTTCAAACAAACCATTTTTTCCAATTAATATGTCATGGTCTTCATCGTTTCGGAAGTCTTCTCATAAGAAGACTTAGGCACATAAAACAGACAGCACTAGAATATGTACCTGGTTATCTAGACTGAGCAGGATCAAGCGTCCAAAAGACTTAAGGCTCCATAGCTCATTAGGAAGGAGCTATCTACGAGTGCTGGGAAAGCAAAGATGACAGGGGAGATGGCCCTAGCAAATGTTCGCTGCTATTTTAAAAATGCATGGTCCAATAAAGGGGACATGTACATAGACAATGGCTATAGAATACTAGAATGGCTTAACTGAAAGTGGGAATTTCATACGTAAACGCCAAAAGAGCTCCTGGGAACCTCCAACGATTGGGGTCAACGGACTTGAGCATTGGTTCGGACGGAGAAGGTTACAGCGCAGTGTCGGTCCGGACCCGGGACACGCCCCGCCTGGCCCCGACTCACCTTCACCGGGATGGGGAAGGGGCCCCGCGACTCCCGCCCCCATGCTCCGCCTCTGCGCATGCGTGGGCGGGTCGCCCTTCACTCCCCAGGCGCTGGCGCGGCGGTCCGCAGCCGGGTTCTCGGCTGGGCTACACCATCTGCGGCCTTACTCTGGGGGGCCTCTCGGAGCACGGAGCCTATCATCCTGCCCGATTCCGGCGGATGACCTGGTTTATCAGGGCAACTGGAACTCTCCCCCACCGCGAACTTGACCTGGAGGACACAGGCAGGACACCCCGGAGGCTCCGGCCTGCCCCAGGGCTGCAGCTCCGCCTCCACCCCCTCCCCGAGCGGAGGTGGTTCGGCCGATTGGGCTTGTGGGAGGTGTACTTCCTCCCGAGGTTCGGGTTGCGGGGCCTCAGCGGCGACTCGCGGGAGGCCTCTCAGTGGGTCCCCGGCGCTCAGCGTCCGGGGGCACGCGTGTCGGGTTGCAGCGAAGTCTTTGTCGTTTGGAGGAGATGACTCTGGGTTATTTGGGGCGAGGGAAGGTTAGGCCGATTGCTCCTGCAAGACCAGGACAGCCCCTTCCGGGGACACCTGACTTGCCCGAGGTCACTAAGCTACTTAGTAACTAACTCAGGCTTAGAAAGCTGGTCTTTCTTTAACTCAGCGAGTACCTAACTCGAGTACTTAGCTCTAATGGCCAGGCGTTGGTAGGGGCTGGGGACAGGCTAGAAAAGAAGGATCTGCTGGCTTCGGTTTAACCGCGACAGGGACAGGTAGAAAAGTTGTTTTTAAAGGGAGAGGAAAGACTTGAGGACTTTCAGACCTGGGTTGAAAATAATCTTTCTTCCATTTTCTGTGTGCTTTAGGCAAGGCATGTGACTGTTTGTAACCGAGTATTTAGCATTTTTGTTTACCAGGCACTGTACTGGGTGCAACAGCCGCCTGGGAGAAATACTGTTACCGTCCCCATTTTACATACGATGAAATAATCATTGCATCAAACTCACCCACTTGATCTTCATACACATGACTCCTTTCCTCTCTTAAATTTGGTACCAAATTCTAAGACAGCTAGAATTATCACTTTTAATGGCCCCAAAATGATAGAGCCCAAACTAAATTCAAAGTGAGCATGACCATTTCACCAATATTTAGACCACAGTTCAGATTAAGGGAGCTGAATCTGTCCGCCTAGCTCTCTAGGCTGTCCTTTATTAGACAGAATTACACAATATTAAAAAACAATATTTTTTTGTTGCCCCAGTGTCTCCTAAAGGAGCCAGAAATGGGCACCAACACTATCAGTTATAAACAACATGATCATTGATTTCCTTCTGTGTAAGGAACACACTGAACTGCAAAGTGTAAAGTAGTCCACACTGACTTGGATTATTTTTCTCATATATAGTCGTGCGGAGATATACATTGTTAGGCAATTTCATCTTTGTGTGAATATCACTAAGTGTACTTGCACAAACCACTCAGGACATAGGTCAGTGGTCTTGAAACACAATCACAATGCATAGTAAACACAGGGTAGATGAGGCTATTATTAGGGTAACACAGCATACTGTTCTGCATAAACTTCTTTAAAAACTCTTTTTTTGGGGCAGGGGGTGTACTGAGGATTTAAACCCAGGAAAACTTAACAACTGAGCCGCATTCCCAGCCGTTTTTTTTTTTTTTTTTTTTTTAATATTAAAATAGAGTCTTGCCAGGTGCAATTGCACACACCTGTAATCTGAGTGGTTTGGGAGGCTGAGACAGGAGAATTGCTAGTTCAAACTAGCCTCACCAACTGCGAAGTGCTCAGTGAATAAAATACAAAATAGGGCTGGAGATGGGGCTAAGTGGTTGAGTACCCCTGAGTTCAATCCCCAGTACTGCCCCCCTCTCCAAAAAAAGGTCTTTCTAAGATGCCTAGGGCCTCTTTAAGTTGCTAAGGCTGGGATCAAACTTTTGATCCTCCTGCCTCTCAGCCTGTGGAGTCTCTGGGATTACAGGGGAGCTATGATATTAGCTACAAACTTCTTTTTAATAAGTAGGAGTATACTCTAGAATGAAGATGAAAAGTATAGATAGTAAATACATAAACCATTAACATAGCAACTTGTTATCAAATATTATGTACTGTATATAATTGTATTGCTGTGTGTTTATATAACTGGCAGCACCTGGTAGATTTGTTTACACCTGCATCACCAAAAGCAGATCAAATGGGGAGCTACGATATTATAACAGCAGCTACTATGTCACTAGGTGATAGGAATTTTTCAGCTTCAGTATAGTCTTGTGGAATCACTGTAGTATATGTGTTCCATCTTTGCCAAAAATGACCAAATGATGTGGATGTAGGCAGTAGCTGGTATTGGTTAGTTGAATCAATGTGCCAAGAGTAGGCATATTTGTTTCATTCTTTCTCCACATGTAGACTTTTTATGAGTAATTATAAGTTAATTGCAGGCACTTAACCTCCCCAAATGCACTATTTCTTTCTTCAAAACAAGGACAGTCTCTTAATGTCACCATGATACTATTACCCAATTCAGCAAATTTTACAGAGCATTATCTAATCTACAGTATTCTATTTCAGTTTCATTAAATGTCCTATTGGTGACCTTCAGAACAACACATAAACTCCTACAGCAGCAGCAAGTTGTATCGGTGATAAAGCATTCTTTTACAGTTCATTGGCTCTATGATGACTGCAAAGAAACTGACTTGTTTTCATTAAATTGTGGTATCATAGTAACCAAAATCCATAGCTCCCTGCAGATTGATTGAAGCTCAGTATACACATTGGTCATCAACATTTGCAAATGGTGTCATCTAAGCCGCAATTCTTAGAACTACTGTGAACATGTGTTTCTCTCTGGGTGCCATCTTAGTACTCTTTTTACTCCATTTGATCATAGAGGAGTTTTACAAAAAGAGTGTCAATTTTAAAAGAAAGAAAGTGGTAGATTGGCTGCCAGGCTCTGTGGCGTGTGCCTGTAATCTCAGATGCTTAGGAGGCTGAGGCAAGTTCAGAGCCAGACTCAGCAAAGGTGAGGTGCTAAGCAACTCAGTGAAACCCTATCTCTAAATAAATTACAGAATAGGGCTGGGGATATAGCACAGTGATTTAGTGCCCCTAAGTTCAATCCCCAGTACCCCTCCAAAAAAGAAAAAGTTGTAGATTGACTTAAGAAGGACAGTACCCCTTTAATTCTTAGGGGATATTTCCAAGATCCCATGTGTATGCCTGAAATCAGGGCTAGTATTGAACCCTATATACTATGTTTTTGTTTTTGTTTTTTTAGTCCCTGAGCATATATCTCTAATAAGGTTAAATTTGTGAATTAGGCACAGTAGGAGATCAACCAAAATATATAGTAATAAAATAGAATTATTATAACAATATAATAAAATTCCTAACATCACTACTCTAGTGGTTGGGGCCATTATTAAGTAAAGAGTTTCTTGATAATGATAACCATGGCAGTTCATCTGATAATCAAGGTGGCTAGGTATTGGATACCCAGGATGGAGGGATGATTTGCTTCTTCAGTGAGACAGAGCAGAATGGTGAGAAATTTCATCACCCTATTCAGGATGGCATAAAATTTAAAACTCATGAATTGTTTCTAGAATTTTCCACTTAATATTTTCAGACCATGATTGATGGTGAATAACTGTCCCTACTTAACCACTGAAATTGAAACCATGGTTAAGTGGGGACCATTGTACAAGAATAAAGTATGGGGTATGGGTGGGAAAAAGTACTGTGGAAAAGAGAAGATTCACACTCACTTGGACATTGTGTCTGCCGCAGTCTGGCTGGGCACAAAATCACGAGCCACTCACAGCCTTGTAGATTCAAACAGCAATTCTTTATTCCCGAACTCATACCGTTACTCTACAAACATGTTCTGGGCAAAATCCACACTCTCCACCAGGCTCTGAATCCCAAATATTCTCTGAATCCTGCGAGAACTCAACGGGAACTCAAGGCGCCTGAGGCAGCAGGATACGCCCTATTCCTAGCAGGAATCACCTTAAACCTGGAAACGCCCTAAACCCAGAAAGCCCTAAATCCCGATCCGCCCTAAACCCTGATCCACCCTAAACCTGGATCCGCCCTGGTCCTTGAGCAAGGTCACCTTTCATGCAAAGTCACTGCAAATGACCTGGGTCCACCATGGAGAGTCCTTCCTCTAAGCAACATGGAGTAGGCTGACAAAGAAATTGCGATGCGTCATTCCTACTTGGCAATGGCTCTCAGCAGTGTCCTCTTCCCTCTTCCCATCTGGGTTGATTAGTGACTGAATGGTTCAGGAAGGGCCACATGTGGAATTTGTGGAAACTTGCTAGTGGAAGTTGCCTTCTCCCACCCAAGCACTCTTAAATTTTATTTCTAGCTTTGAAGTGATTTATCACTTGAGCCTGACTTATCAGCATTTTCTCTTCATTTCTTAAAATTATGAACAATGTATATATCATTCTCTAATTGCAGGCCACTAGTGAGGAAAGCAAGTGCACATCAGCTGCCCAGGGATCAAGATTTGGATTGTTTCAAACCTGTATTACATTCACCCAGCATGTTTATTGAAATTATTGCTTTATGGCATGGCTAAGCTTTGCTTTTCTTATCCTTGAACATGATCTGATAAGTTAAAAAGACCAGGACATGGAGGGTTGCCTCCTTTTTCTTGATGCTTCTTAATTGTCAAAGATTTTGGCAACAAAACTCCAAATACTTAAAACTGTCACTAACAAGCTGGATGTGGCAATACATGACTGTAGTCTCAGTTTCTGGAGAGGCTGAGGCAGTAGGATTACCAGAGCCCAGGAGGTTATGGCCATCCTGACCAACATAATGAGATCCTTTCTCAAATAACAATAATAAAAAATTCTTAACAATAACACTGTGTGTGAAAGAATCATGTAAGATGCTTTAGCAGAGATAATTGGTTTTAAGGCATGTTTAACTCTAAAGACAGCTTTGTAATGACATGAAGTGGTGGTCCCATTCAAAAAGGCCCCACTCAAGTACTGTCCCTGAAAGACCCTTTTACTACAACTTCTCCAGAAAGACCTCAAATTCTGGGTGACACTAGATCATATATTCCATGCTATTCTCAATTGAACAGCATAGAAAATAAGCACATAAA